CTAGAGCTGTTGCCAGGTCTTGGTTCAGTTAAAGCGAAGCTGGTATTTGTAATTTTTTTTTCGTTATCATAATCTTGACCATCATCATCATCACTGTTTTCATCACCCGAGTCGCTATCATCGTGATGAGTCGACATAGAGCTCATCGGCGTAGTTTACAACTCGGTCTTCTTTTTCGTCTATAATTAATTATTTTTTGAAGATATTCGATTCGTAGTAATCGAATGTTACTTTTTTCATTTACCAGCTTCCGATTATTTTCTGTTCTTTTTTTCCATCTGAAGCCTAGCTCTTTCATAATTCGTCGTAAGCTTCATTCCGAGCCATTAAAATTTATATCTTCTTTAAATTTTTCGAAGCCTTTCTACGGTACGGAGTTTCGCTGCTTGTTATGTAGTTATTATGATTACATCTTTTTATTACAGATTGAACGAAACTATCCATTCCGGTAACTTTCTTCTTCCCTGATCTTTTCTTACCCGGAGTCCGAAACACGGCGAGCAAGCCAGAGCCTTTAGCTTCGTTAATAATGCACCTAACAGTACTCACTGATGTTTTTGTTGCTTCCGAAGTCTGTTTTAATTTTTCCATATCATTCTTCCCCTGTTTTATAATGAAGCAATATACGTCGTACACAAATTTTCTACCCTTTCTTTTAAGTACTACACCAGTTTGTCACGGCATAGTGTATGTTTTATAAAAAATCAACAAACACTCAACAAATAGCAATGGCAACAAAGTCCACAAGCAATTATAACAAATAACTTAACGATTAATAACGATAGACTTTCCACTGTACGCAAGCGTACTTTTGGGAGCAAGCGGAATGAGGGCGCGGTGCGGGACGCAAGGTTCGACTGATCTACCAATAACGCGCTCGATACGATTTCCCCTGCCGTCGCGCCTCACCCTCACCACCAAAGTGATCTAAAATTCGGTTCTGCGCAGTCAAGGTCATTTGCTCAAGAAGTTTGCCGATTACTATACCACCACCCTGCCTATTTCTGCCGTGAAGCAATAAAGCGTTTCGGTTTGAAGGGTGGGGCAGCCGTTGTAACTATACTTGAGACCTTAGAACTTGTATCTCAAGGTGGGTGGCGCATTTACGTTGTGGATGTCTATGGGCTCCAGTAACCACTTAACACCAGGTGAGCTGTGAGCTCGTCCACCCATCTAAGCAATAAATAAAAAATATAAAAAATCTGCCAATCGTAACTTTTTCATGTACATGGTTAAACGAATTCTTAGTTTATTTATTGAAAGGCCTTACGTCGGCCATTGCACAGATTAAAAACGATTTCGTGCACGCCATATTCCGTGTCTACTATATAAACAATACCCAACTAACGTCGGTAAAAATAAACGGTGTCGACTTAGCAGGTCTTTGAAACATCAAACAACCATTGCTTCGTTAGTCCGAATTGGACTGATGCGACTGGCGGCACCAATTTCCGTTTTAAATCCCAAACCATCTCTTGAAATATTTACTTACGTTTACAGAATACCGTCTGGTGTAGTGGTAAGTGACATGGTCACTACGTAAGGGGGTCGGGGGTTCGAATCCCGCCAAGGGAAGATATTTGTATGATAAATATAAATGTCATTTCCAGGGTTATGGATGTATATTAAATATATGTATGTGTATAATAAAAATCTTACATTTATTTCCATTATCTGGTACCTGTAACACAAGTTCTTTACGAACTTATCACGGGACCAGTTAACGTGGCGTGGTTGTTAGTAAATATTTATTTATTATTTATTTATAGTCACTCGTCTTTATAGTAGACTGCTGGCAATATTTTACTAACCACTTGAACCATGTTTTTATTTTATTTATTGCTTAGATGGGTGGACGAGCTCGCAGCCCACCTAGTGTTAAGTGGTTACTGGAGCCCATAGACATCCACAACGTAAATGCGCCAACCACCTTGAGATATAAGTTCTAAGGTCTCAAGTATGGTTACAACGGCTGCCCCATCCTTCAAACCGAAACGCATTATTGCTTCACAGCAGAAATAGGCAGGGTGGTGATATCCACCCGCGCGAACTCACAAGAGGTCCTACCACCAGTAACCATCATGTGAGTCCATACTTAAACAGATTCGTCTCTTTTATCCCTTTATAATATACTAGCTGACCCGGCAAACGGTGTCTTGCCATATATAAGATTTCTAGAGAATTTCTAAAATACTAACTTATTGGAAGTGTATAAGGATGTGGAATATGAGTGAAAAAGGCCTGGAGCGCTGGGAACGATGAGGGAATGTTGTTTACAAATAACAAAACACCAAACATTAATTGTTTTAATTTATTAAAAGTAATAATTATATATATAATTAATTCATTACATAATATTAATCTCTTAATGCTGCAGCGTGAACAATATTTTTTGTTAGGCCGCTTAAATTGAATTGGCACATCTGTGGGTATAATAGGTATTCGTGGTATCAATATATTTTCACCTCGAAACTTGCCATTTAAAATGGTGCCTTCGATAACTTTTTTCATTATTTTTTTAATGAATAATCGCGTACCGTTGCATAGCCGTGGCGGGTTCAAATTACGAAGCAAAATAATTGGAGATCCAACCTTCAATTGTAAGNAAACCGGTTCGAAGAAAACCGGAGAAAAACCGGTTTTTATACTTACCGATATACACCGGTTTTTATTTAAGAATACCGGTTTTTTACGCTTTACATTCACAGTTCACACCAGTGCTACCAGATCAAATATACAAGCTACAAATATAAAAAAAACCGTGTTTCAGAATCAAATTACCGTGCATTACATTTAAAAACTACAGTGCAATAACCACAATATGGTTGGTAGACTTTTAGCGTACGAAATGAGGACCGTGACCCAAATATCCACATATCTGCACCCAACACTCAGAAATGGCTTTCGCCAACCAGAGCACATGTTGTCTGCACAAGAGATGGTGCATCGTGAACTGGGGAATCTTCTTGAAGAATTTTCAACGCTTTATCATCGGAACAGCCAGAAAAACCACAATATTTTTTGCCTTCGCGAAAACGGGATATTCCGAACGCCACGGCGGCCGCAGTGAATATAGTGCGAATGCATATTGAGACTGAAGCCGCCACAGTAAACCAGACCGAAATTGCTGGCACGTGCTAACATCCAGAAGGAGCAGGCTTCTGAATGACGCAGTGGACCAACTATGCCTCTTGCATCAAAATTTTGATTTAATACAATAGTATTAAATCAAAATACACTAGTATGCACTATTTAATACAATAGTATTAAATCAAAAATAAAAAGCTTTTTATTATTGGATAATATATATGATCATTAAAAGCCTATATAAAATATGCTCACCCAATTAATTGTATGAAGAAAACTCTTCGTTTGTACGTAAATTTGTTTTATTTAGTGATTATTTAGCCTTTATGGAAAAAACCTAAAAATACCTAAAAAAACCGGTTTTTTGAGAAAAAAACCGGTAATAAACCGGAGCCAGAAATTGTAATCGGTTCACATCGCTAATTATTACATACGATCTAAATTATTTTTTTTAAGAGATTTTATGACCTGGTAACTAAGACCTTTAGTCATGTCTTATTTTACTTTATATTCTTGATTTTATGAAAAATGATAATATGGATTGAAATGAAATGAAGATGATTAATTAGAGACATTAATCAACTGGGATGAAATTTAATGAAATGAGATGATATGGGATGAAATATAATCGCAGTAAAATGGTGGTCATTTACTGAGATTTTTTTAGTGGACTTTTTGGAGGAACCCGAGAAGTTACGTCCAGCAGCTTTGTTTCATTTTCCCACATTTGTGCACTTTCACAGATATTAAACAGTTAATAAACCACCATTATTACACATTTAAACCTGAAGAAACACTAAATAGACAAAATAAAACAAATCACACAACTTCACTCCTCGCGTTCCCGCCAAAAAAAGTCCATACGATCTAAAATGTGCCTCGAAACCATAGATAATACACAAAAAATAATTACTCGAAAGTTTAGTTTGACAGATATACCTATCGACAACAACTTGTTTTTTTATTGCCCTTGTCGTTAGATGAACATACGGCCCATCTGATGGTGAGTGGTTACTGTGGACCATGGACGTCAGCAATGCCAAGGGTATAACCAAGCCGCTGCCTACCGTTTAGTACTCTCCGCGTGCGCTAGCAGAGTTAGAATGTTTTTAAAATTACCATTTTTTTTTACCGTTTTCATATTTCCGTAACCTGCCCAATACAACAAAACAAAAATAAAACAAACAGGTACAGTCAAAGCCCTTCATAAATCACTTTGAATTTTATTTCATTTTTACAGTATTCTTCAGACATCCAAACAAACTTTGCCAATTAAAATATTAAGTACACATATATTTTGCGCTTATATGCTTGTAGCGGTGTTTATTTTTTAAAGTTATTTTTTAGTACATTCTTAAAATTTCTCGGCATCCACGGTCCTTTATAGACAATGTTGCACTTCATGCAGAAAGATTGAGGAAGCTATTTCCGTCTTTCTTGCAATAGAAATTGTTGGCGAAATGTCGATCCGGGCAATGAAGTAGTTGTCTATTGGTATACATATTATGAAGATAAATAGTTATAAATATGAGTCTGTTTCTGGTTTTAAATACAAGGTCAAACAATTCTATCTCTCTTCATTGTTCATCATAATGATCATCTCAATGATCATTGTTCTATACCTACTCTTTGTATATACTATGTTACTTATAATATTCTGTATTCAAGTTTAACAATATTTGCTATGTGTATGTGCATTACTATAATTCTCATGTTGTATTTGTTATTTTAGCTGTTCTACACACACTCATCACTTTTAATTATTATTCTCATAATCCTCTCGCAGGTCTGCTGGAAGAGATTTTTAAAGAAATAAGCAGTGCCTTTGTACATAATTTTCCTATTACTCTGTACTATGTCTTCTTTTTTGTGTGTACCTACATAAATAAATAAATGAATTATGATAAGCTAGTCTAATCATATTCAGCTCCGATCGTGATGCTGAGGTCTCCCGGGAGAACGGTAGTCCTGTGATACCAACGGTTCGTGTTCACGACCACTAAAACAAAACATGTCAGAGTTACATCATTATTTTGGTTGAGGGTGTCGTCGTGGGAATCGTCTATAGTCTAATGGTAATACCGAGCTGGCGACCGAGGATATGCCAGGGTCGGCATTTTTAGTGCTCATATAGGCGGACGAGCTTACGATCCACCTGGTGTTAAGTGGTTACCGGAGCCGATAGACATCACATACTGTAGGGGTACTACTAGGGATCACAAGACGTCCGACCATCAGTTTCATAGGCAAATAAAAAGACAGAAATAAGTTTCAGTACGATCTAAAGTTATTTAATTTAAAGTCGTCGTGGCCTAAAGGATAAGACGTCCGGTGCATTCGTGTTGAGCGGTGCACCGGTGTTCGAATCCCGCAGGCGGGTACCAATTTTTCTAATGAAATACGTACCTAACAAATGTTCACCATTGACTTTCACGGTGAAAGAATAACATCGTGTAATAAAAATAAAACCCGCAAAATTATAATTTGCGTAATTACTGGTGGTAGGACCTCTTATGAGTCCACACGGGCAGGTACCACCGCCCTGTTTATTTCTGCCGTGAAACAGTAATGCGTTTCGGTTTGAAGGGTGGGGCAGCCGTTGTAACTATACTGAGACCTTAGAACGTATATCTCACAAGTGGGTGGCGAATTTACGTTGTAAATGTCTATGGGCTCCAGTAACCACTTAACAGCAGGTGGGCTGTGGGCTCGTCAACTCATCTAAACAATAAAAAAAAAAACACATACATATTTCACCAGGAGAAACTGTGAATTGAATCCAGGTGCAATGGTAGAGGCACTCAGGAGGGGGCGCCAGCTCCCATTGCTTGCGACCGCGGATCTGCGCTTGCCAGGACATGTGTCTTACAGAGTCCACCTGCAAACGCAAGAGTGTGTGGACTCAAAGGCTGTCTCCAAGCGTTGTTTTTCTCATCTTTGCTGTATCTCCCGTGCATACTTCATCTACTGTTTCGAAGGATGCCTTAATGCAATTGAGATTTAAATCGTATGCCTTAATAAGGTACGCCATTTGACTTATAGTGTCTATGAGCTAAACACTCAGCATCGGATAAGCCGTGATCTGATTCTTAGATAGATTCCAAAACGAGCACACATAATCCTATATATTTTTTTAAAATCTTTTTTTTTCTCTTCCTAAGATAGCCTTGAGAGGCTATGTCAACGTAACCCTAAAGTGTAGGTGAGCTCTCGAGGCTCAAGCCTGACGACGTTGCTAACACTAGCCCTGGCAAAAGCAGTGCTTCGCAGAATCTACCACCGTGTCGGAAATGCGACCCACTGAGAAGATTCGGCGAGAAACTCAGTGAGCTGTGCCTATGGATAAAATCTCTAATAGATTTTTTTTATTGCTCTGATAGGTGGACGAGCTCATAGCCCACCTGGTGTTAAGTGGTTACTGGAGCCCATAGACAGTTACAACGCAAATGCGCCACCCACCTTAAGATATAAGTTCTAAGGTATCAGTATAGTTACAACGGCTACCCCACCCTTCAAGCCGAAACGCATTACTGCTTCACGGCAGAAATAGGCAGGGTGGGGGTACCTACTCGTGCGAAGATGATGTCCTAGATCTAACCAAGTACCTAATAGTGAATCTTACATGCATATGCGCCCCTTGTCCGGGTCCGCCCATAAAAATCCAGTCCACCGTGTCGCTCTCAGCCGTCCGCGGGAGAAAATACGGCCGATTGTAATACGATCTTAGTTTCTTGGTCTCCTCATCGAAGCAGGTACTCCAGCCTACGTACCACGGTTCTCCGGATAAATTGGCGCGTCTCTCATCCATATTGAAGACTTCTTGCAGGGAATTCAGACCGGATTTGTAGGCGAAATAAAAACAATCGTTGGTCTGTCTACCTAAGTTATTATTGCTGTAGAATCGCGAGAAGAAATTAAAGTTGAACACCTGCAATTATGAATTAGATATGATATAATGTTATGAAAACTGCATATGATATTATGTTAAAAGTCGTCGTGGCCTAAAGGATAGGATAGGTACATTCGTATCTAGCGATGCAACGGTATTCGAATCCCGCAGGCGGGTACCAATTTTTCTAATGAAATACGTACCTGTCAAATGTTCACGATTGACTACCACGGTGAAGGAATTAACGCATTACTGCTTCACGGCTGAAATAGGCAGGGTGGTGGTACCTACCCGCGCGGACTTACAAAAGGTCCTACCACCAGTAATTACGCAAATCATAATTTTGCGGGTTTGATTGTTATTACACGATGTACTGGGGAAGTCAATCGTGAGCATTTGTTGAGTACATATTTCATCAGAAAAATTGGTGCCTGGTATCCGAATACCGGTGCATCGCTCAACACGAATGCACCGGACATGCCACGATGACTTAACTTGGTTCACTAGGTGTTAAACAGACATCATAGCCCATACACATCATAGCTCATACCATTGATGCGTTAACACTTCCTACTCTCAATGATAAAACTAATTAATGCCTCTCACCCATGAAACCAAAGTAAATATATGGCGACAAACACAGATCATTAGCATTTCGAAACAATTTACTACGAGAAGAGTGCCCTTCTACAAGATAAAATTTTAATTAGTATAAAATGCATATCACTAAAGTTTTCAGACCTTCATCGCTGGCCATTTTTCGGTGGCATCAGTGACAATAACCGGCGTGGCGCTGTATGCGTATTTGTCTTCAAATTGTAGTGGTGTTACATTGGTCAATCTAGTCACACCATCGACTCCGATACACATGGAACAGTCTTCGGGAGTTCGGAATAAAGTTTTTGAAGACGACGGCAGTTCCAGTAGACAATTCTAACCAGAAAATTAATTGTTTTTTTATTAATATTATTTTTAATTTACCTATTATGCATTCGAAATACACAGAAAAACATTTATTCATACCTTGGTTGATGGCCATTCTTGATAAATAAATTTCAAAACGATCACTAGAAACAAAACGCTCAATAGAAAACAAAGACGTTTTGAATTTCCCGCGATAATTGGTCTGTTAATTCCGGCGTCTAGACTACAGATATACGCGTTACTCAATTGAAAAGTGTCAATTTTATTAACAATTTTAAGAATTTTTATTTGAGCCAATTTGATTTTTTTGTCGCAATTTTTTAATTTTGTCTCTTCGGTCATCGTGGCCGCGTGTGACCAGTTCGAGGACTTAGAACGAAATGAAAGGAGTTGCTTTATACAAAGGGGTTTATATAGACATCGCCTTACGTAGAAACTCGCGTACTAAGGGTGGTGTTAGGGGGAAATCAACGTTAATCCAATGAATGTTTCGGACAATGGCTTGGTGGTGTCTCTAGCAATGCTGATAGCTATTAAACGACGGTGATTGCTCATCATCGGTAGCGGTAGGCAGCGGCTTGGCTCTGCCCCTGGCATTACTGAAGTCCATGGGCGACGGTAACCACTCACTATCAGGTGGGCGGTATGCTCGTCTGCCTACAAGGGCAATAAAAAAAAACATCGGTTGGCCCTGCCACCGAAAGTAAAGTAATGTTATGAAACTTAAGTTAACGTTAAGTGTTTACATACCCGATCCTGTGAACCGATTGATAAAAAGTCGACGTCGCCCTAAGCACGTCATTACGGATCCTCCCGATCCATTAACGGTGCTTTTAGGTACCTCAAGCCCCGGTCACCATCCTCGTCGAACCCATCGCTTGTGACGAAGGGCTCGACGAGAGAATTAACCAATAGACACAGCCCACTGAATTTCTCGCTGGATCTTCTCAGTGGGTCGCGTTTCCGATCCGGTGGAAGATTCTGCGAAGCATTGCTCTTGCTAAGGCCAGTGCTAGCAACACGCCCGGCTTGATCGCCGTAAGCTTACCTACACGTCAAAGAGAAGCTGAAATAGCCTTTCAAGGCTATCAGCATAGGTAGGAGAGAAAGAAAAAAAGTTTGGCTTAAAAAGCATCTGAATTTACTTTGAATGTTTTTGTATCTGATAATAAGCTATCTTTGTTCAACCAGCAGTTTCACATGTTATCATTGTTTCAATTTGTAACCTCTAATTGCGTAGCCCGATTAAGTCGGTAAAAATATAAAATATAAATATAAATATATTAGTAAGAGACCAGACGGTATGTCAATAATTCCCTGGAAGATGGGTCGGTCGCTCGTTTGGGATGCGACTTGTGTAGATACCATGGCACCGACACATCTTCCTGGGACTAATTCTAACGCTGGCAGCGCTGCTTCAACGGCTGAAGGCCTCAAACGACGGAAATATGAAAATCTCTCTAAAGATTTCATTTTTGTTCCGTTTGGGGTGGAAACTTTGGGCCCCTGGGGCCCATCTGCTAAAAGCTTTTTTAAGGACCTTAAAAAAAAAACTTTTTGAGGCCTCGGGAGACCAGAAGGCCGGTACGTATTTTGCACAAAGAATTAGCATTGCTATCCAGCGTGGAAATGCTGCCAGCCTTCTGGGAACTCTGCCAACCGGCGGTGAGTTAACGCAGATTTTCTATTTATAAGTAGCTTTACCTAAATAATAATTATTTTTATTCATTTATTAAAAATGTCTTAGATCAAATTATTTTCAGACTATATTACAATTTTTACATTGCTCGAAGAACTGGCAGCTAGGGCCGAAAGGCTCGAGTGGCGACCACGAACAGAAAAACATTGTTGGTAGGCCTCCCCCGCTGGTGGCTGATGACCTGGCAAAGGTCACGGGAATCCACAGGATGCTAGGTGCACAGAATCGGTCCTCGTGGCGAAACTTGGGAGAAGCGTATATCCAGCAATGGACATATGTAGAATGATGATGATGATGATGATACCATATACCGTATGCCGTGCGGTGACATCCATCGTAAATTCACGGTTTCAATTCAATTCGGTTGATTGTTGGACAAACATCGCAATAAAAAAAGCAAAATCCCGATGTTCACGTAACCATTTTTTTTTAATTTTTTTCTTAGATGGGTAGACGAGGTCACAGCCCACCTGGTGTTAAGTGGTTACTGGAGCCCATAGACATCTACGACGTAAATGCGCCACCCACCTTGAGATATAAGTTCTAAGGTCTCAGTATAGTCACAACGGCATTTTAATCGTCAAGTTCATCCAGTTAAGATACTATCGAAATAGTAATATAGTAAAAAGTACAGAAGATAAAGTAAGAAACAGAGCGTGTTAAGCTCCGTGCGTAAGTTCAATAAGTATGAAATTGGAATTCATTATCGGGCGGCGCAGCTGCGGGACGGCCACATGCTTCAGCGCTCAAATTGACAATGTGGAGCTATCAATTCACAATTTGCCATTTATGTACTGTAATACATTTATAGGACACATCCCACCGATCCAACGTATCCAACGGAATATCATTTGTAAACGCGCTTTTCCTTAATTACGATTTCTGTATGCGCGGCATATTTACAGAACATATAGCCCTAGAATAAATAGCTTTTAGTATATAATATACACAAAAATCTATATATCTATATATAAATGAATTGCTGTTCGTTAGTCTCGCTAAAACTCGAGAGCGGCTGAACCGATTTGGCTAATTTTGGTTTTGAACTATTTGTGGAAGTCCAGAGAAGGTTTAAAAGGTAGATAAATATGAAAATGCTCGGAATTAAATAAAAATAACAATTTTCTTTTTTCTTTTATGTGTCCCCTCGTTGGACGGATTCCTTTTATTTGTTTTAAGTTTATTTTATACAAAAGTTTAGGTCTTTTATTATCGATTGAGGCACTGCGAAGTCTGCCGGGTCAGCTACTAGGTACTTCATAAAACTTATTTTGAAAATAAAAACATTAAATTTATAAACTATGAGCTATGAGTTTTGTCCATTATAGGATATATTTAATAACAAAAGAGTAGAATTATTATTTACTCATTACAAGTTTTGCCATTTAAAAACACTATAAGACATGATTCTCACCAAACAGCTCGTATCGCATCGGGTCGATACAAACTGACATCGACAGCAGTATATTTTTTCTTAGGTACCTAATATATTATAGAGTGACCTAACGCGGTCATGCTAGATTCACGGAGCGGGTAAGTGAACTCACGGGGGTCTAACCTGACGAATGAAATGACCACTGAGAAGATCCGCCGCGAAACTCAGTGGGCTGTGTCTGAGGGTTAGTTTGCTCGCCTAAGTTTTTGTCGCAAGCGACAGGTTCGACGAGAACGGGAGCGGAAATACTCCATTACACTTAAAACACAACATAATTATTATGTTATAACTCATTCTCTTAATTATTGTCATAGCATGTACATGTACGTTTATTTATGTTTCAAATCACACCAGTCCTAAAGTGGCTTTCACCTGAAAATACGTCATGTTTCATATGGTCAAGCTTTTTGTGTCTATATTTACCCTTTGTGAGTTATAGAAGTCTGTCGGCGCGTGTAGAAATAGATTGATAGCCTTTATTTATATTTAAAGATATTCTGTGACACGGGACCTTTTTACCGCCGAAAATTTAAAACGGACAATAAATATAATGTGTATAAACAATAACTAATAACTTAGAATTGTTTATGCCGCTACAACAATAAAACTCCTATTGTTTCAACTGTGGTGTTAATTACATAAAACACGATTTTACGGCGAAATAAATAAGGGATATGGATTCCCTTAGTGCGTTTTCAAAAATCTTTTTTGCCTCGTACCATCCGGCTTTGGAAGAATTCCCCTTCGCGGTATTTTTCGAGCGCTATGACATGTCGTTCTTCAAACGAGGCTTGCGGAACGTAGGTACTTAAATGGTAGGCAGAGGCTTGGCTCTGCCCCTGACATTGCTGACATCCATGAGCGACTTTGACCACTTGCCATCAGGGGCCGTATGCTCGTCTGCCTACAAAGGCAATAAAAATAATAATTAAGTAGGTGATATTTAGGAGCCCCAGGACTTTTAAAAGGTCCATTGAATTCTTAGTACAATTCTATCATCTTGCTTTTATCTCATTCAATGCCGATTACGTTTTATCAACTCACTCACTTAAAGTTATGCAGTATTTGAAATTCATTCCTGCCATTTAATTTTTTTTAATGAAAGATTTAGCTTTGGCCTTTAGCAGTATGGGCTAAGTTGTTTTTGTGTGTTCAAGCAAGAAGTCGGTACAGTCTTAGTGTCAGTTCTCTTAAAGTGCTTCCCACAAGATATGGAGGGTAGAGGTAACGAGAACCGTGTCTTATGGGAGAAGCTTGATAAAAGTGTTCCACTTTCAACACTAAATAACATTTCAAAAATCCTCCACAATGGCGCTAGCATAGGCACAGGGTATGATATGAATTGAGCAGTTGTTAACTGATTGAAGTATGCTATTAGGAAATTTAATATATTTAATGACTAGAGTAGTTAGTGACAGTGTAATATACAAGGCCTCACATGTTTACGTAGTCCAAACTAATTTCGTCAATATAACCGAAAATTATTGCTGTGGTAAAACGTGGAGATATCGATTGCATTTTCTTATCAGTTTTAAATAAAATACTTTTTGTGATTTTGTTGTGCTTACAGTTCTTTCGTCTTTTATTATTTCTCTATCTTAAATAAATTCTAATAACTTTCAGGGTTTTTTTTTTAAATTTACCCGGTTGCTACTGTAGGGCCACCCTTATTTAGCAGATTTTAACGGACACTTTTTCACAGACAGAGATGGTTCTCCTTATCTCTAACCTCCATACTACAAGAGATCTATCTTCAAATGATTTCAAATCGAAGTGACTTTTTGGCGGGAACGCGAGGAGTGAAGTTGTGTGTTTTGTTTTATTTTGTCTATTTAGTGTTTCTCCAGGTTTAAATGTGTAATAACAGTGGTTTATTAACTGTTTAATACCTGTGAAAGTGCACAAATGTGGGAAAATGAAACGAAGCCGCTGAGCGTAACTTCTCGGAATCCTCCAAAAAGTCCACTGAAAAAGTCTCAGTAAATGACCACCATTTTACTGAGATTATATTTCATCCTATATCATCTCATCTCATTTCATTTCATTCCATTTCGTTTTTATTTAATTTCATTTCATAATATCATTTTTCATATATAAATATATATAAGATTAGACAGTATGGTATGATACCTTTGCCTTTCCAGTTGGAAAAATAAAACTACTACTACTACTCAAATCGAAGTGTGAACAATCGATTCTGAGATAACCCCAATTTGATATCGATTTTTGAATTGTGCGAGTTTTGGAAAACGTTACAGACACGAGTCACAACAGTTCATGTCATATACTAAAAGACAATTGAGTCGTCTATTATCAAAGGTGGCAATCTGTGCATTTGGACAAAAAAATGTTATTGATATGTCAATACAGATTGATTTGAATATAATCGTCTCCTTCAAAGAAAACGGTTCAAAACCTGCATTAAATAAAGGTTAATACTTAACCTGTTATTTATCTAAGTTGTCGTTCAGAAGAGTTTTGTGACTGCCAATGGAATACAAAGTCAATAATTCGATTTTCTGATATACCAATAATTGTCCAAAAGTCACATTGCCGGCTTTCATAATAGTCGACTCAATTAATCATGCTTCTATCTACCTGACATTGGCAGAGTCATTCGTCAAAGAAGAGACTCGAGCCATAAAAAAAAAAACATGCTGTTATTCATTGCATGTGCATTTATGGTTTAATTTTATCTCAAACAGGACATACGATTTTTAGTTTCCGATCGATTCATTGGATTTTATCGACTAAAACGGTCCTGAGATTTCAGTCAAAATTCTTAAATGACATTTGACATGATTCGAAGCGATTAGCGAATCTAAAACGGTTAACTTTCGGCTACCTTCATATTGTTTTATTAATATCAAAGAAAGCCGGCGAGTCTTATTAATTAAATTAATACATAAATATAATCCTTCAGTTTCTTACCAGAGTTAAATGAGAAGACAATGGCCGCTATACTTGGCGGTGGGCTGGGTGGTCTCTCTACAGGCTATTATTTGCTCAAAAACAATTTAAATTCTAACAATAATTTAAAACTGTACCTTCTAGAGGCTACTAATTACTGCGGCGGATGGATTAAATCCATAAGGACAAAGGATTACGTTTTTGAGCAGGGCCCAAGAACTATACGGCCCAAAGGAGTTACCGGGCTTAATACACTGAATATGATACAAGATTTGGGCCTTAGCGAGCATATAACACCTATAAAACCGGACCACCCTGCCGCTAGGAACAGAATGATATACGTAAACAATAATTTGTATTTATTGCCTTCAAGTTTAAAAGGTGTATTCCAAAAGAATGAGCCCTTTTCGAAGCCGCTGATTTACGCACTTTATCACGATTTAAAGAAGCCTCACAAACAGTTGAAAGATGATTCGATTTATAACTTCGTTGAAAGAAGATTCGGGAAGGAAATTGCTGATTATGCAATTTCACCAATGATTTGTGGCATCTGTGCTGGGGACGCTAAAGAGATTTCAGTTAAATTTTTAATGAAAACTCTATTTGAATGGGAGCAAACCCACGGAGGTGTCGTAAAAGGTTTGATGAAGTCATTGTTCAGTTCCAAGACTGGAAATGAATTAGTACTAAGTGATTTAGCAAGGAAGGCTCAGGAAGAGAAATGGAGTGTTTACACGATAAAAGGTGGCTTGGAAATGTTTCCCAACAAACTGCAAGCCCACTTAAAAGATAACAATGTAACCATGAACTTGAGTACAAAAGTTGAAGCCATAGAATTTGTAGACTCTGGATCTGTTTCGTTAAATATTCAAACAGGAGAAAAGTTATCAGTGAATCATGTGTATTCTTCAATACCAGCTTATTGTCTAGCAAGCTTAGTACAAAAACAGCATCCAGAATTAGCTAAAACACTAAAAGATATACCATTTGTAACTGTGGGGATAGTAAATTTGTATTTTGCCACTCAAAAACCTTTGATAAAGCCAGCATTTGGTTTCTTAGTTCCTCCGATTGAAAATTCTCCCATATTAGGTGTAGTCTTTGATTCGTGTTGTATGCCAGATCAAAATGGAACTGTTTTAACAGTGATGCTTGGAGGCAGATGGTTTGAAGAAAAATTTGGAAAAAATACAACATCGGAGAATTTATATAACATTGCTGTCAAAGAAGTAGGTTCGATATTGGATATTAAAGACAAACCAACAGCATTTAATGTGAATATTTTAAATAGATGCATACCTCAGTATGTAGTAGGACATTATGAGAGAGTTGATGAGATTAGACAATACATAAAAAGTAATAATTTGCCAATTTCTTTAATAGGCAGCAGTTATGATGGTGTAGGTATAAATGATGTTATTTATTCTGCAAAAAGTCAAGTTGAAGAGACTTGAGAATTGTTGTTACTTATTAAATTCTCAAAGTATAATTAACCATATATTTTTATTTATTTTTTAATTTTTTATTAATTATGTTGGCAGACATGCCCATGGTCTATTTGCAGTAGTGGTTTCCGATGCAATTTGAAAATTACTACTTTATTTCATTGCCTCATTGAGATAGTGAAGATTTACTCACTACCATACCACTGGATCTGGGTCCAGTAGTAGTGTTTAAGAACACAGTTATTCAGAAAAAGTGCTTAATTTTGCACCTAAGCAAATATGATACTGATCATTATGTAATTAATTGCATACCCAAAATTATTAAGTTGTAGTTACAGCCAAGTGTATAGGTACTGCATTTTTCTTAAAGAAATGTTTGCCGAACTTGAACAAAATGTTCTCTTAAAATAATCTCAGAATAGGTCTAAGTTAGGCTGAATACATTATGCGTCTTCCTCTGCATTAGTAATTAAATCAAATATTAGAAGTTGATCAACACATTTAAAACTAAGTTAGGTAAATATTTTATTGCATTTTTAATGGCACACAACTGAATATTGTCATATTTTAAATATTATTTGTAGGCCAACTAAAAGTATATTATTATGGTATTAAACACTTGCTACACCCCTGACAATGTTGATGTCAATGAAGAGACCACTCACACATCAGCTGGGGCCATATGCTGCGAACGCAATAAAATAACTGCAACTCTGTTACAAGACTGAAGAATAAATAAAACTGAGACAGTAATATATTATTATATTTCTATTGTATAATTTTTTAAAATATATTTAAAAAATTAAAACTATTAAACATTTTAAAAATTATAATTTTTATTTTATTTATTTCTGACAACTAGACGATTAAATAATTTTCATCTCAGAGTATTGTTGATAATGAAAATAGTAATCTTTTTATTATTTCAGTAATCGGAATTTAAAAAAAAACCTGCTTAACGTGGCCACACAAAATCAACTGTGTAAACAAAAAATATCATTAAGTGTGTAAATGTTTTATTTATGTGAACATACATTAGTTGTTAATAGTGCACAAAAGCAAAAGAACCCACCGAAATGGTTGCAGCTTTTCCTTCTTATTTCCTTTAATTAGAAGATAGTTCAAAGTATATAAATATTTTAAAGCCTTCTTAATATTTGCGATTACTTAAATATATTTTAAAACTAATGAGAACTTATGATAACCTGCTACAGGAATACTTACAAGCTAAAAACGTTATAAAAATAAATTAAGCTTTTATTTCATTTCGTTATAAATCGTCTTTTAGTTTAACGAATCTGCCTAATGCGAAGTGATTTCATTTTCACACAATTGCTATCACAATATGTTTTTGTTATATTCGATTTAGAAAAGACGAATGAATCTTTAATAAGCATACTTTATAGTGCAATATACATATTTAGTTGATTGTATGGAGGGTAGATGAGGTAAGCAGAACCGTCTCATAAGGGACAAATTTGAAAAAGTGTCCCACTTTCAGCACTAAGTAACTTTTAAAAAATCTTCCAGAATGGCGCTAGCATAGGCACAGGGTATGATATGAATTGAGGAGTTTTTAAGTGATTTAAGTATTCTGAGTAAGGAAATTTAATATATTTAATGACTAGAGTAGTTAGTGACAGTATAATATACAAGATCTCACATGTTTACGTAGTCTAAACTAATTTCGTCAATATAACCGAAAATTATTGCTGTGGTAAAACGTGGAGACATCGATTGGATTTTCTTATCAGCTTTAAATAAAATACTTTTTGTGATTTTGTAGTGCTTACAGTTCTTTTGTCCTTTTTTATTTCTCTATTTTATTCTAATAACTTCCAGCGCGTTTTTTAAAAATATACCCAGTTGCTACTGTAGCGCCACCCTTATTTAGTAGATTTTAACGGTCACTTTTTACACACAGAGACGGTTCGCATTACCTCTACCCTCCATAATTGATTGGAAGATTAGCTGGTATTAAAGGAGAAATGTTGACAAAGGAGACAATGGTCTTAAACTGTTTTGTTTAAAAATTACATAAACCAATAAAGGAATTCGCACGCTTTCCACTCCGTCGTGCGCGTAGTGCTATCAAGTGAATAACAAAAGTGATATTGTTACGCCGGTAAGAGTAATGCCATCTATCGCCGAATAGTCGAACAAATAGCGAAGAATCTAGTAGCACCTAGAACGCCCGAGAAGTACAACGCCATCTATTGTTAGATAGCGGAGACAATACTAGAGATGTGTGGAATATTCTCGATAATTCTAGGGATGTGGTATCGACTATAAAAGCACTGCAGGGATGGCACGTATTCAGTAATCGGAACTACTCGAAGCGAAACAGCGAACGGATCACCTGAAGCGAAGCGAAAGAAGTGAATTGAGAATTTTAAAGTGTTTGTGAAGTGTTTAAGTGTTGAATAGTTTTTAAGTTTTACTTCGGTGGAATTTTATTTATCCCCGAACCCCAGCGCGTAGCAATATTCTATTATGTAAATTCTATGACTCGCGAAAACACAAAACATAATGCGCATAAACTGCAGCTTTGAATCGGAGACTTAAGCTACGTTTCCCAGTGAGAGCAACGCCGTCGTGTACAGAATATGATTCCTCTGGTTCGGCGCGTTGGCGGCGGGCGGCACCGTGTTGCGGTACGAGTACTGGAGGGCCAGCGCCAGCAGCGCCGCGCCGCCCCGCGCCGCCCCCGCCTCCGTCGCCACCTGCAGACGGACGCCCAGCTTGTTCGCCTTCCGCCACACGATTACACTGGAAATATGATATTAGTTTAGTTTCGTTAGGATAAAGTGCTCTTCATTGTATTGTAGTTACCGTAGATAGACATAAATGTGTACAATCTCGTTTCGAACAGGTCAGGCGGCTCAGAGCGGTGGCACATTTTTACTGGTGGTAGGACCTCTCGTGAGTCCGCGCGGGTAGGTACCACCACCTCGCCTATTTCTGCCGTGAAGCAGTAATGCGTTTCGGTTTGAAGAGTGGGGCAGCCGTTGTAACTATACTTGAGACCTTAGAACTTATATCTCAAGGTGGGTGGCGCATTTACGTTGTAGATGTCTATGGGCTCCGGTAACCACTTAACACCAGGTGGGCTGTGAGCTCGTCTACCCATCTAAGCAATAAAAAAAAACATGATGCGTTGCTGCGACGCACCGGCCTTGCAACCACCGAGACGAGGGCGGAGGGGTGAAGGCGTTGCGACGTCGGAGTGACACCGCCACAGACTTTTATTAACAGACTGTCCAGAGCTGCTGGGGCGCCGGCGTCGCCGCTACGACGTAACAATGTTGCGGCATCGCACCGCTCATGTGCGCGCCGATACGGTGAAATCTTTGCGGTGCAGCGCCGCAACGCATATTGTCCCCCCCCCGCTCTTACGGTGCCTGTTACGGTCAACGGAGCGCACAGGATATCAGAACGAGTTCCGAGTCTCGACTATATAGTGTAACTGTTGTCGCACTCTTCGAGCTGAGATGCATTACTGCTTCGAGGAACCGTGCGCGACAGCCCGCCTGCCGTTAGCTACTCTAAGCCGTATATAAAGTACTAGCCTTTACCCGCGACTTCGTGCTTTCATGTTTTATTTTAAAATAAATTTGGTCAGCATAAAAAACGTTATAGTGAGCCAACCGTAACATATAGACATATGCTGCCGTGGCTTTTTTTAGATCTTTTAAAGGCGAACAATTCTGTCATACATAATTTTAGCGAAACTTTAATCGTTTCTGCAGCGCACGCACCGGAAGATCTCAAAAGGGAAAAAAACCCCGATATTGGTCTTGGCGTGATGTTATATAGCCTATAGCCCTCCTCGATAAATGGGCTATCTAACAAACACTAAAATAATTTTTCAAATCGGACAATTAGTTCTTGAGATTAGCGCTTTAAAACAAACAAACTCTTCAGCTTTATAATATTAGTATAGATAGTAACTCGTTAGCGTCGTGCGTGGCGTCGTCGTCGTACTCGGCGGCGTCGTCCCGCTGCGGCACGGCGACGCGCACGGGCGGCCCGACGGCGCGGACGCACGGCGCGGCGGTGCGGCGCCAAGCGGGCGCGGCGGCCGGCTTGCACGGCGCGGACTCCTGGAACACATCGATCAACTCTAAATTGTATAAAAATGAAGAGTTGTTATTGCACAAGTTTTATAAAGCATAGTTTAATGACAATGTAGAACGAGCTAACTAAGAAAAGGCTACTTATACAATGTAGTTTATACGAAGATATTTTAGAACACACTCTTTAAATTTATTTATAAGAATTAGCAACAAAAAAAAACGAATGACACTCGGGAACTACCGCGGTAAAGCTATTGCACAGCATTTTTTATCAACTTATGCAATTATAATTAGACAATGATAATTTAATATTAAAACAATAATAAAACAAGACCACGCTATATTAAACATTAATAAAACAAAACCTTAACTGTCCTCTTCACCCTCATAAGCTAGACCGCGCGAGAGAGAGATGGCCAGACTTTTCATGATGCGCATGCAGTGTGACGTCACGCCACGCGCTTATTCACAAACACTACACAAGCGCAAGTGTGAATGTGTTGAACGCGAGCTACATGGTAGGCGGAGTGAGGGGTATAAGGTTTTTTTCGTTACGGAATTTCATGATTCAGTCGCCGCGCTCAAGGCCCGCGATAAAATCTATGCAATAGCTTAAAAATATTCTACTTTCTATCAGCACACTTTTTATATCATTTAAGTATTATAGCCTGATTTTAACACTTTTTAAAATAAGTAGGCCTGAGTATTGCAATCAATAAGAGTTAAAAGTGGGTGGTGGTTTAATTAGGCAGTAGTTTCATTATGCCCCCGGCATTCCTGAAGTCTATGCGCGACGACAAATGTTTAGCATCAGTAAACCACGTGCTCGTTACAGAGGCCATAGAAACAGTAAATTGAAAATTAAATTGAGAACTAATAGAGCGGCTATTTCATTGTGGCCTGGAGCATCAGTAACATAGGTAGTTTATTCCAAACATAAACTGCTAAAATCATATTCACTTCTTACTCGTCGAACTCGGCAAAGAGATCGACGTGCAACCTAATCTAAGCATCAGCCCGTTGAGTTTCTCAGCGGGTCGCGATTCCGATCCGGTAGTAGATTCATTCGTGAACTAGATACTCTTGAGTTGTTAGGTCTCCCTTGGAGGCGCTCGGGTACCTGTTAGTAAATCCCGCCCCTTCTGGCTGAGCCCTTGCTCGCCCATCTTCCTTGTGAAACTGGAAAGGCCTCAGGGTCACCAGTAAACCCTCAATCATAAGAAAACATTCATTTCCATCATTAGAAAGGACTTACCTTGTCCAAAGTGAGTGATTTCTCAAGTGAACTTTCAAGTTGCTCTTCCTCATTGTCCACTTGCGGTATATCTTCAGGATTCATCAGGCATAATGTCATTTCGTGAGCAGTTGGATTGCTCAGTTTCAACAACACAGTTGAATTCTCACCTGCCTTCATGGGTTCGTATGATATTATTTTCACTTCGGGTATGTGATAACTGTAAACATTATTAATAAAATAAAAATTTTACACATTAAATATTTAGCTTGCAGCAGTTTGCTGATAAAAATTGTTCATTTTTACTTATCATCTACTGAGATCCTACTTATACCATATGACTGGCCACAATATATTCCTTAAGTATCATAATAATAAATATTCAATAAATTGTGATCTTACATTACCACGAAAGAAAAACATTGGGTTTAGATAGTTTGTATATCCTAATTAATTTAATTTATTTTGTTTAGATTTGTGTAATTTAATTATTTTGTTTTCATCAATAATGGCATCCTCCAAATCCAATACTTACAAAGCCAGTAACTCAATCTTGAATTTTATAGAGCCCGGATTATACTCTGGTTTAGTCAGATTGTGGTCACACTCCCTGCACCGTTGGCTACGTTTTACACTCAATAGTTTAGCTATTGGATGCAGTCTTGAAACATCAGTAGGCTGCCACTCCGGTGATAGAAGACGTTGAGGCATACTGGTTACTGTAATAAAATTAATATAGTAATTTTGAAAAGTTTGATTACAATTCAATATATTATTATATTAACACACTTACTCTGATTCAAGTTGACTTCTTTAGTGAAGTAATCTTCAGGCAATTCCTCAACTTCTGCACTGGCTTGGCTTGGAACGAATTTGGCGATAATGGACGATGACCCAGAGTCGGAAGATGGAAGTCCTGCTATGTTCCTTGCCATAGCTCCAGTTAAGCCCGTTTTATCCTGGATTACATAAAAAAATCGTGATCGTGAATATTTTAGATGGCGTACACAGATGGGATGTAAAAATATATTATTTTCGAAATTAAAGTAAGTTAATACAGCATATACAAAAAAGCCATATCCGCTTATTAAACTAAGCAATGTGATTCATATTTTATGAATACGCTACTAATGAAAACGAGCCAGCAGATACGCCTGTTCTCATTTTACTGTATCTAATACAATCCAAATAATTAAACCATTCAAAATGTGCTCACAGTGAGTGTTAGGTATTTCCCTCTGATGGCAAACTTTTTTCTTTCTTTTTCAATTTTCTCCTGTTTCTCTTGTAATGCTATTGCCTTGTAATATTCTAAGAGTTGATTTATTTGTGTTGCAAATGGATTTGGTCTCTCTGGCCATCCACCTGATGCTGAAAACAAAAATATAAAGATGACGAGTAGATCTCTATAACATTAGAAAAAATATTACAATATCCTACAAAATACTGAGTACATTTTAATTTAACAGTCATAGATATAACTAAAAGTACTTTAGCTTTAGTATAATATTAAAATAATAAACAAGATTAAGTATGTATTATAGTAGTTAAAAAAAAACATGTCAATAATACTACTAATAGCAACTTGAGAAAGGCATAATTTGAATTATAAAACATCAAAGAATAATAATAACATCCCATAAATTTACTTTTTGAAGTGAAACTTCCTTATCGGCGTTGGAAAAAAATTTACCGTCACATTTTTCGGTTACGCGTCACATTTTTCCGTTACGCGCCATCTTTTAATTAACGGCTGTATGTTCTGAAGTATGGATGCGCATTTGAGAAACCGACCTCATGTCTCAAGGTGGGTCACGGAATACATTTTGTAATTGCAATAATCCCAGGTAACCCACTTAATATCACGTGGACCGTGCTATTATTGTTATTACGTAAAATAATAGGAAGAAAAGTACCAGGGTATTATGATATCAAAGAGATGTATTATTATAACTTTACTCTGACGTACAGCCTTCTTTATTAATTAACGGCTGTATGTTCTGAAGTATGGATTCCGATTTGAGAAATTGACCTCATGTCTCCAGGTGGATTACGGAAATCATTTTGTAATTCCAATAATCTCAGGGAGCCCACTTAATAATATCACGTGGACCGTGCTATTTATTACTGTTATTACGTAAAATAATAGGAAGAAAAGTACCAGGGTATTATGATAGCAAAGAGATTTATTAATAATTAACGGCGGTATGTTCTGAAGCATGGTTTCGGATTTGAGAAATCGACCTCATGTCTCAAGGTGGGTCAAACTTCACGAACCTCAGGAACCCCATTTAACACCACGTGGACCGTGCTATTATTATTAATTTATAGGAAGAAAAGTACCAGGGTATTATGATATCAAAGAGATGTATTATTAAAATGCTGTAATAATCTTAGTAGCAAAAAGGTAAAGTGAAATAATTGTATTATTTGTATTCATGTCTATGATAATAAAATCCTTTTGTTTAAACTTTATCTAATTTAACTTTATTTAACCAATTTCTAGAAAGTTGCATGTAGATCATTTTTCGAAAAATAAGGCCATAAACAAGTTTCACTTCTTACGTGTGTACACTAGTACACGCACACATTTTTTTTTTAATTCAGTTATAATCAATACAGAAAATATTATTTGTTACAATGTGCTGTGAAAATCTTACCAACAGGCTGATCAGGAATTCCCACATCTCTAGATGTCCATCTACAATTGAAACAAGCTAAATAGTACATCTTTTTTTGATGTTTGTTTTCTACTTTCCCATCTCCAGCACCTTCTTGCTGCCGAGGTTGGACCAAGCTAGCTCTGGTGGACAAAGTGTGGTAGCAACTGGGACAATCAAAGCAGCTGCTGCAACGGTTCTTCTTTAATCTGGCTTCTGATGATGGCATATTCTCGAGGCAGTTCGGACAATAATGTGAGTCGACCTGGAATGAAAAGTAATTGATATTGTGACTGTGATCTTAGCTCTAAAAGTAGCTTAGTTCTAGAAGTAGGTAATAATGTAGCAAACATTTAGCTTTTAATGAAATTTAGTTTACCTCTGATTAATTTAATAATAGCATATACATTAACTCACACTTAAAAGTCTGTGTGCAAAATTAACGAGATATTGGATTTTAAAATGGTTACTTTAATGTAGAACAGACTAAACATTAGTCCATCAGTTTCACGACTATGATATACAGTACCCGTGCGTCGTTAATCAATTTATAAGATACAAATAGTGCTATGCTAATTAGTGAAAAACAGAGGCAATAGAAAAAGCTGACGCTTGGATTAGAAATAGCCTTGTTTTTTTTAGTGAAATAAAAGACAAAATACTTTTTAACAAGAGTTAACTGAAAGAATATTTTAGGATATAAAATCGTTATGTAGGTTACCTCATGACAAATACAAAAACCGCAACGTATTTTCAAACAATGCCGACAGAAGTATAAACTAGTGATTGGTTTCAGTTGACCGCAAGTACAAATGTATCTCACATAATCAGGTTGAGTTAAATATGCCATTTTAAGGTGAATAAATAATTTTTAAATAGTACACTCGAGACAGAAATATCAGTGTTATACACAATTGGTATGGCAGAATAAATTAATTCAACAATACTTAATATCAAATCAGCCTACATATGTATTTAAAAACTGTCATAAGTCTATGAATCATAGACTATGATTTAAGGTGGGTAGTGTCAATCGTCTCATGGATTCTATTTGACGTTGACATTAATGTTGACACCTATAATTTGTTTGGAAAGACAAAAGAAATATGGCCAATACGGCCAAATCTTTTTTGTTTAGAGACCGAAGACATGCTTATTGTTCGAAAAATTAAATAAGTCTGGTTCTGGAATGAAATGAAATAAAATAAACCTTAGTAAATTGATAAGAATTTATTGAGTGGTTTTACGGAACTTTGTAGGATAGCACGACAAGTCGTTTAGGGATTTAGTTCCATAATCTCTCTCATGCACATTTTTCACTTTTTAACAAACATTACACGTTTAAACAAAACAAAACGAAAAAATCACACAGGAGAAGCAAAGGAGGAACAGGAGGGGCGAAGTTCTATGAATCGTTTTATTTTATTAATTGAGTGTTTCTTCAGGCTTACTAACTGTTTGGCATCCATACAATGGTACAAATGTATGAAAATAAAACAAAGTCGCTAGACGTGACCTGTTCCTTCTTCTTCGGGGGTTCTTCCAAAAAGTCCACTAAAGTCTTAATAAATAAAAACCATTTTACGAAAACTTTTGAAATTTCATGGTTAGACGAGCTTACGGCCCACCTAGCGGAGGCTATAGATATCATAAATTCCATCACCCACCTTCAGACTTATATGCTGTCTCAGTTTTACAGTACAGCAGCCGCTCAACCCTTCAAACTGGAACGTATTACTACTTCACGGCAGACATAGGCAGGGTGTACGGGTTCACAAAATGTCCTATCACCCATAAATAGCAATACATATTATTATAATATTTCTCTCCTACCGACGCCGAAAGTTCGGTTTTCGTCCCGCTGTACAGGGAAGAAAGTGTAACTTTTCCTCCCTGGGTACAAGTGCGCATGCGCGTTAGTGTCTACGTCAGCTCTCACGCAGCTAAAATTCTCCGCCATTGTTGTGCTCGGGTAATTTACAATATTGTGTTTAGTGTAAAAGTGAAATAAACAAAAGGCAATAAAATTTAATAGTGAAGTATTAAACAAAGATGAGTTCATCACAGCTCTTATTCAATTAATAGTAGTTTATTTAAAAATTAAAAAACAGTTAAATTGTTTTTTTATGAGTACGGGGGTCTCCACCCCCACTATCCCCTGCTAGGGATTCGCCCCTGGACCCCGGCTCGGTACTCCACGAACTTTCGGCCTGGCAGGTACAACAAAAAATAGTATGTGCGCCAAGGGAGAAAAGTTGGACATTTCCTCCCCCGTGTAAAATTAACCCGAGCCGAAGGCAAAGGTGGCAAACACGTACTATTAAGATACGTAGCGCAAATTGTGAGTTATGGAGGGTAGCATAGAATTTCTTCTTTCTTCTCGATGTCTTTCTTATCTCTACCTATTCGCTGATATCCTGGTGTTTTAGGAGCCGGCATTCACGTTTGCGATTGCTATTGGCCCCACTAACCACTTAAAACCGAAATGCCGTGATCCATGTGGTGCATAAAAAATTAGTTTTCTAGCGGTACCGGACACCCCAAATACCATGAAAACGGTTTGACAACGGTAATATGGAGGTCCGTAAAATCTTTGTATTATACTAAAGAATGCTTACATATAGATGGATAATTTGATATATACATGATAAAATTGGTGATTTTCGTTCATTAACTTTTAATGAGTTTCTCGTAAACTTTACCAACAAATAACAATGTGCTGAAATAAAATGAATACACGCTAAAATGCAAAATAATTGCACAGTAAACCATAAATATAGTATGTAATTTTAATAAAGATTAGGATGATGAAAATTCAGTGTAAAATGTAAAAAAAATACAACTGACGTGAACTAGCCAACCAAGTAATTAATTTCATTTGCAGGATTTTCTTTACAACTTAATTCACTGAGCACGCGTCACAGGTGTCCTAGAAATGTCAAATTCTTTCAGAATAAAATTAATGTGCGGATTCTTCACACGCGAAGCCGTGGCGCGAATGTTAACTGATAATACAGGTCAGCATTAAGGGCTCAGTGCTGTGTTGTCTCTTCGTTATTTTTTTTATTAATGTACAGTGGTACGCTAGACAATGTACAGCATTTGCAAATTAATTAAACGCTAGTGAAAGCCGGTCACACACACAGCGCTGTGACTCTGACAAACTGTATGAAAAACATCGATTTCTTGAAACTACCCACGTGTCAGCATACGTTAAAAGTACTGTACCAGAAACTTCTTATATTTCAGAAGTTCAGAAGAAGTAGTTCAGAAGTTTCATCACAATCGTAAGAATGGGCGGAATGTATAAGTTCTTCTTCTCAGTCGTATGCACTCTTAGCTGAGTGGTTGTGGTCACCATTTCAGGTGGAGGTGCGCTTCACTTTATTTGGTCGGCCCATCGTACCGGTGATCTGCCGCGCGATGTTGTACCCTATATTATTAATCTATGCATCAAAGAACAAAGAAGCAAATTAATGTTGATATTAATTTATGCAGATTGTTAATAAAATATATAGGTCTGAAATGTCATGCACGCTGTCGATGGTCAACATTTTTTTTAAATCGAGATGCGACATAATGAGTGTAGAATAGAGTATGGTTTTCACATATCGTCTTTCACGCAATTCATCCATTTCTTCTTAGGTCTACCTCTTCCTCTAAAGCCTTCCAAAAGTTTATTAAATTTTATTTTTAGTCTTAAGGTTAGTTTTTTCAAATCCGTTCCTGTACAAAATCTTTAGGTCTTTTAAGGTATGCCATGAGGAACTACGTGTTTACTATAAGCTCTGCTTTCTAATGTCGTAATAATGTATTGCGAAATCGATACGATGCGATCGATTATGTCACTTTAGTATTAATTACAAACGACAATGTTGCAGATTAAGTACGCTTTTTCTATTTACAAACTGGTATTTTTTTTAGTACCCATTGAAACTTTTCATTTTTTATTGAACTGGCTGTCTGTTGATCATAATTTTATGTAGTAACTTGTAATGCAAACAACATGTTTTATTTTTTTTTGCTATATTTTTTTGGGAATTTGGTCTTTCAATTTTTGTTGACGGGAACGCGATTGGCCATGTCGCGAGAATATCTTATTGTTGTATTTCTTTAGACTCAAACGCGTAATAATGATGGTTTATTGACCATTTAGTATCTGTGAAAGTGCACAAATGTGGAAAAATAAAACGAACCCGCTAAAAGCCAAAAAGTCAACTGTAACCTCAGTAAATTTTCACTATTTTACATGGGAGAACATGGGATGGTTTATAATTCAGAGTCAACAAATATCTATAACGTAATTTAATCTGACGGGGAAAAGTTTGCTTCAAACATAGGACATCAGATCTTATGCTGTGTTCATTTTAGGGTTAATGTTGCTGTTTTTTAGTACAAGGATCAAGGATAGATTGCGTGCTGGCTGAGCCTTTGCTCGCCCACCTGTCCTGGTGAAACTGGAAAGGCCTTCGGGCCACCAGTAATCTCTCAATCATAAAAAAAAAGATTGCGTGATATAATTTCAAGAGCTTACTATAGGACGTTAAGAGTAGACGCAAGTTTCATTCACCCCGTTCATCGTATTACCCAGAATTACCCTGTTTCTTCCATGGATAAGGTCAAGATTGTCCGGAAGCTAATAACATGCCATCAATCAATCGCAAAATGTAGAGCCAAATTAGAAAATATATATCAATGAAATCATTTAAAAAATAATAAATATTATTTAAAAATCGTCGCATTTGACAGAAAATATTTATAAACAATACATATAATGAAACGCTAAGGTGCGATGTGTCTGTATATTAATGGAAATTCGTAGCCGAACTCCTTTCATTATAGGCTGGCTTCATTTAATTTTATTCATTTTTGAAATGTTTAATGCTAGTAGTCAATTACCAGATAATTTCAAGCCTTAATTATAAAACCGCTTTGATGAAATTCATTTGAACCCCCGAAACAATACAACTCTTCGTCCCATTGCTGGGAACGGATCTTCGCCCACTCGATGTAAAGTGCAGTAAGTGTACTTAAGTAATTGTCGATTTCTGTCTTTGATCTTCTCAATAAGGCGCCGGTATATCTAGTAAACTCTAGGAAAGACGAATCCGAAGATACTGAGAATTAATATATTTCTAAGAGATACGGGAGAGAGAGAGAGAGAGGCAGAGAAAGGGAGGGAGAGAGGGTGACAGCGAGAGAGAGAGAGAGAGAAAGAGAGAGAGAGAGAGAGAGAGAGAGAGAGAGAGAACATGCTTACATTCAAAAGAAAACAAGACAAAGTTAAGAAATCAAAGCCTTTAGTAACAGAAATCGTCATAATTGCTTCAGAGCGCCGCGTAGGGCACCGGTGACCTATATGGTAGTCAACGTATTAAGCGTATGTATTATACTGGTGGTAGGACCTCTTGTGAGTCCGCACGGGTAGGTACCACCGCCCCGCTTATTTCTGCCGTGAAGCAGTAATGCGTTTCGGTTTGAAGGGTGGGGCAGCCGTTGTGACTATACTGAGACCTTAGAACTATATCTCAAGGTGTGTGGCGCATTTACGTTGTAGATGTCTATGGGCTCCAGTAACCACTTAACACCAGGTGGGNTGTGAGCTCGTCCCCCCATTTAAGCAAAAAAAAAAAAAAAAAAATAATATCTATTGATTTAAAACACATAAATAATATTGAGATTCTCTTTCATTTCTCTCTGTCACATATATCATGGTCGTTTACGTATTCTAATCTAACCTAATCGACATCTCGATGCTAATGGGCTAAAATGAATTAATTCAAATCATTTCACCGTTCCATTAATGAACACTAAAACTATGTTTGTTTCATGTAATATTGCGAATCTGAGCTTAAAATGCAAATGACATAAGTGAACTTTTTCATCATCACTTAAATAGTCTTTGAAAATAAACTGCATGCTAGTTCGTGGCAAAGGCACGTGTGTGCGCGGGCATATGAATCCTGCTGGCAGGTACCAATTTCTGTAACCCTGGCTGAGCCTTTGCTCGCCCACCTGTCCTGGTGAAACTGGAAAGGCCTCCGGGCCACCAGTAATCCTTCAATCATAAAAAAAAAAAACCAATTTCTGTAATGAAATACGTACATAACAAATATTCACGATTGAATTCGTCGTGGCCTAAAGGATAAAACGTCCGGTGCATTCGTTTTGAGCAATGCACCGGTGTTCGAATCCCGCAGGCGGGTACCAATTTTTCTAATGAAATACGTACTCAACAAATGTTCACGATTGTCTTCCACGGTGAAGGAATAACATCGTGTAATAAAAATCAAACCCGCAAAATTATAATTTGCGTAATCACTGGTGGTAGGACCTTTTGGGAGTCCACACGGGTAGGTACCACCACCCCGCCTATTTGCGCCGTGAAGCAGTAATGCGTTTCGGTTCGAAGGGTGGGGTAGCCGTTGTAACTATACTGAGACCTTAGAACTTATATCTCAATATGGGTGGCGCATTTACGTTGTGGATGTCCATGGGCTCCAGTAACCACTTAACATCAGGTGGGCTGTGAGCTCGTCCATCAATCTAAGCAATAAAAAAAAAACCACGGTCAATATAAATTCGGTTCAATCGTGTAATAAAAATGAAATCCGCAAAATTATAATTTACGTAATTAGGTAGGTACTTACTGGTGGTAGCACGTCTTGTGAGTCCGTACGGGTAGGTACCACCACCCTGCCTATTTCTGCCGTGAAGCAGTAAGGCGTTTCGGGTGGGGCAGACGTTGTATTTTAAAAACGGAGACCTTAGATCATATCTTAAGGTGGTTGACGGCATTTACATTGTAGATGCCTATGGGCTCCGGTAACCACTTAACATCAGGTGGGCTGTGAGCTTGCCCACCTGACTAAGCAATAAAATAAAATAAATATCTCGTTCATCAAAGAAAATATGATGATCCTTGATCTGTCGTTTCGATATCATATTTTTGTATCTATATTTAGGTTTAGTCTAGACTAGTCGAATCTTGATTCGATCGATCGGATTATATATTGTATAATACTGAATGTTTTCTGTTCGTTGATTTTGAATAAGTATTTTTTGTGTAATAATAAGATAAAAAAGATTTCGTGCTAAGTGGAACCATACCCTTTATTTCAATCTGTAATCATAGTTTAACCGTAACGAAAGTTTAATTGCGGCAGAAATAGGCAGAAGTTTATACCGGCTGACGCGTATACGTGAACCTCTCCAACTTAAACAAGGTTATAAGTGTATTTTGCCTGAGTTATTATAATAAAACAAATAAGAATTCTACCTGTTTCCGCGTCACACCGGTTAACGTCCGATTAACAGAATTTCTCTAATAGTTGAGCAACTAGTTTTTATCTAACCAGCCGGAAATAATTATCATACGCACGTTTGCTAAAAACCCCAAAAATACCGGTTTCATCGCGAGACTAACCGTCGTCAGAGGAATTATTTAAACAGCTTAGTCATCAGATATTTGCAATGTGGATAATGTGCATTTTGCTTACCCTATTTATATAGCTAGGTGGATTCTTTGAACGTTTAAACTATATATTTCTAAAGAACATATAGTTCTTTATGATTATGGTATCAAGCATCTAGTTTCCTCGTCACGACCAAAAGACGTTCGGTGTGTCAATTACTGGTATCAAGCGATACAACTATGTTTTGTGTTTTCCCGTTAGCTTTTTTTTTTATCAATTACCAATGAAAGATTTAATTGGCGCCCAAAGAAGAAAATAACAGAAGGAACTTCTGAAGTCATCGCTTATTACCTTCTGGAGTCTGTAAAAAATACAAGAGGTGCCTTCTTGTTTTGGTTGCCGTGCCCTATAGCGATTTAATTGAGAAATGTGTAAAGATTTCGTTAATTGGTTTGTTCAATCGTTGCTGTAAATAACAAATGTAACCTTTGTATTTTTTATTCATTTACTATTATCGCCGTGTTACTCTCATAGTTAATGACTCGATTAACGGTCAGAATAAGAGATTTTGTGAAATATATTACGTAGTTGTGATCTGGACGTATGTGTTTCCTGGCTGAGCTTTTGCTCGCCCACCTGTCCTGGTGAAACTGGAAAGGCCTCCGGGCCACCAGGAATCTTTCAATCATAAAAAAAAAAGACGTATGTGTTCTTGTATCGTGTGTATCTATGATGATTGTTGGACAGTTTTTATTTTACTATGATATTGAAGCTTAGGAAAACAGTTTTTTCTTGTTAGTGATTTTTTAAATATTTTTTATTGCCCTTGTAGGCAGACGAGCATACGACCCACCTGATGGTGTGTAGTCAGTTACCTTCGCCCATGGACATCAACAATACCAGGGGCAGAGCCAAGCCGCTGCCTAACGTTAAGTACTCTCCACGAGCCTCGTTTAAAGAAGGACATGTCAAATTATATTATTTATACAGTATACATGATTAGGATTATATTACTAACAGTTGGAAGTACTTTTCCGGTCTAATCTTGGGGATTTTTGTTATTACAATATATTATTGCCGACAATTCGAATACTTTATACTTTTCTCTCTCTTTAAGTTCTCTTAGATCTGGTACTTTTCCAAGTTATTGGAAAACTGCGCACATTATTCCTATACACAAAAGTGGTGATAAATCTTGCTGTGAAAATTATAGACCCATTAGTATATTGTCGTGTTTTGCTAAACTGTTTGAGTCGTTAGTATATGTTTATCTTTACAACCATATGAAACCATTGATCTCTAGCCGGCAGCATGGNTTGCATTGCTAATTTACAAAAACAATATATCTTATTATAATCCCATTACCCGAATGTGTCGTACCTATAACGAACTGGCAAGGTCGTCACCTGAGTTAGATATTTTTACTTGTAGGTTAGTTACGTTTAGAAAAATGTTCAAGGGCATCCTCCACTTTATTAATAGGTAGGTTAATGTAATTGTTTAATGTACTATATTGTGAATAATATTTTTTTTTTCTTCCTTACATTATTCGTTAGATTAGTTTTTGTTATTGTGTTGTTTTGTCATAATTGTAAGGAACATTGTTGAACAAATTCAGCACTATATGTCTTGTTTTGTCGTGCGCACATATCTTATGTTGCAAGCCAGAAATTTTTTCTTTTTATTTGTGTTTTTTGTGTATCTTTAGCTTGTGATGTGTGTTGTGAGCCTAATAAAATAAATAAAAAAAAATAAAATAAAAAAAAATTATTTTTAACGTAATTTTAACTTAACTTACAAGACAAGTTAGCAGCTGTATAATACTAATATAATATATACATAATATGTAGGATTGGTAAGAACGGAACATCAAGATGTGAGTGAGAGTAAACGGTAAGAAAGGGAAAGAGAATGACAGAGAAAAGAAAGATGGCGAAGTCGGTTGAATGAGCAAAGCTTAAAAAGTGTCAGTTAATTTTTAATTTTAATTAATTATGTTATAGAATATTTTAGAAAAGAAGAATAAAAGTGTAGTTAACAGTGGATTAATTTTATTGTATGATCCCAAAACTACACATATATACTATAAAATAAAAATAATAATACCACTAACACAATCGGTTTGAAATATGCCTAAACATGGCACGCCACTAGCCTATATTTTCTCTCCTTCATTAATTTCATTAATTTCTGAATATAATGATGTATTCAAATGCAAAAGACAATTAAATCTTATTGCATTATTAACTGTTCTGAGCAGATGATTTGGTGCAATTGAATTGCTAATTAACAACAGTAAAAAAAAAGATTATTGTATGTACGTACATTAATATTTCCGCTCTCTAATTCTCACAGTTTTGTGAAAGAGTTTTTTTTTTCATTTAATTACAAATGACCAACAAAGGCGCTCGGTTTTGGGAATTTAATTTTTTTTGTAGTACATATCTAATAATACAGCGCCTAATACATGCCAAGTGGTAGACTAATGGTAGGAGGACCTCTTGTGAGTCCGCACGGGTAGGTACCACCACCCTGCCTATTTCTGCCGTGAAGCAGTAGTGCGTTTCGGTTTGAAGGGCGGGGCAGCCGTTGTACTGTTAAAAGTGAGACCTTACAACTCATGTCTCAAGGTAGGTGACGGCATTTACGTTGTAGATGTCAATGGGCTCCACCACTTAGCACCAGGTGGGCCGTGACCTCGTCCACGCATCTAAGCAATAAACAAAAAAAGACTGTACTAAAACTATATTCAAAACTTAATCTCAGATGATTAAGTAAATAGCATTTACAATAATAGAATAGAAATTAAGACTTTTAGGAAATTTTACGACATATGCATAATTTATTTTATGTATTACAAAGATAATATAAGTTAAGTAATGAGGCCAAAGCTCTTCAAGTTTTGCTCGTCACTATCACTTCGAACGCGTCCTTCAAAAACGTGTCCCCAAGCGCGCGCGTATCAATTCTATTGTGCAATATGACGCGGGCGGGAACTGCCGCTTATGCGCGAACATTTTCCCGCCAAACGTGGAAGGCGCTTAGTCGCGTTCAGAAATAAAAAAAAAACATGTCACAATAAAAAATTAAAAACCCACTTAAAAAAAATGTAAATTTATTTTATTGTTTATCGATTTTGTTTCGTGATCGTCTTTTTGTGTTGTGTTTTTTGTGCACCGTGATGCATTTTACAAAATGCGGCTGGCACTCGGTCAACTTTTGCTGTTGACTGATATTGTTGCTACTAATTTGAATTTAACGTTTCTCGAGGATGTGGTGAGTTTTAAAAGTATCTATTTAATTTATAACGAATGAAATACAGAAATTCTTCATTTATATTTTGTCATAAGTAACTTTAGTAACTTTTTTAAGTTAAAGAATAATTAATTACAAAAATATAAATACAGTATGTACCTACCTTACATAGTTATTACTTCTTTTAATCTTTAACATATCTGAACGCAATTTTTTTAAGTTTTCATAAATAATTTAATTAGGTATTCGCGAAAAGGTAAACGAAGCAAAAAATATTTTTCTATTTATGCCACCACCATTAATACACCAGAAATTTTAAAATATATTAAAATAATATGTGCAAGAGTAAACGCAAGAGCATACCGTAAAACCGAAAAGATAGAGTAATATTTGTTTGTGAATGTATTCCGATTAGTCCACCTTCTCGCAGTTACCAAAGTACCAATCATATTTTAGACAAATAGATTCTGTCAATAAAGTATAGATAAGAAATAATATTTAATTCAAAAACAAATCAAAACGAGCAACCTGGTGATGCTACCCAAACGAGTAAAATATTTATGATTGACCTTAATCGTTTTGTTCACATGATGGTATGAACCGCTCGGGATCTAGACGAAAAAAAAGTGGTCTAATAAAACATAAGTAGCAGTTTTTGTTAGGTTATCAATTTTTTTTTTAATAATATTCTACAACCGATATTTATAAATCGGATCCTTTATTTATCCTTATTAAATAAAAACTCCTTGGTAGGCAAGGCGTTAAGTGAAGCCCTTAACGTGAATTTTGCCGTCCGATTTGTGAATCGCTTGCTTCAAACTAGCCAGGACTGCTACTGCTAGAAACTGCCAGAAAATATCCAGGACAGTAATACCAACACAACCAAAATTTGTTAGCTAGCTGGTGCCAACTTAGCGACAAAAAATTTATAATTGCGCACTTTTATATTAATTTTAGAATGTTTGGTTCAGAATGAGGTGCTATAAACCCGTTGTCAGAGTCCGTGAGCATCGTGATGTGAATGCCACACTTAAGGTTGAAGTCTCGATCGTATTGCTTAATGCCTGTTTTGATTGACCGAAGAAATGGGCAGGACACTTTAAATAGTCTTTCTCGTCACGGACCAACATGAAAATTCAAACTTATAAGATACATATTTATATTAACATTCCTGCAACACCCGTAACCCGAGATGACGGATAGCTATTTTATTTTTATTTTTATTGCATAGAAGGGTGAATGAGCTCACAGCCCACCTGGTGTTAAGTGGTTACTGGAACGTAAATGCGCCACCCACCTTGAGATATAAGTTCTAAGGTCTCAGTATAGTTACAACGGCTGCCCCACCCTTCAAACCGAAACGCATTATAGCTTCACGGCAGAAATAGGCAGGGTGGTGGTACCTACCCGCGTGGACTCACAAGAGGTCCTATCACCATTTAACTGGACTCCGGACCCTGCTGATGTTGGTTAACTTAACAGCCGGAGCTGATCAGAGGTTCGTTTGTCTACGCCGAAAAGTATCGTCTAAACCTCAAACATTGTTTGTAGACAAGTTCGTTATGCAATCGCGCGTTGCGACAGTGTTGTGGCTGGTCTCGAAGGACCAAGGAGTAAAGGCCGACGACAACCAGTCTCGGCAGTCATACGTCGTTGCATCAACACCTAACGCGGTGTTTCCCAACGTGGGGCCCACGCTCCACAAGGGGGCAATTTGATAATTAAGTGGGGCAATCGCATTAAATTAATACAGAAGATCTGTATTAAAATTATTTTGAATTTGAATTTTAGTTGTTTTGTTATAATATGTTTTGAAATATTACTTACTGTGTTTTGATAACAATTTCATAGTGATTTTATGCTAAATTTATGTTTCTTAGGTGAACAGATCAATTTTATCAAAAATTATGTATGGAGGGCATTGAAATTTTAGAACTGTTACAGTGGGGCATGGCGCAAAAAAGTTTGGAAAACACTGACCTAACGTGTCATGTCGCATAGTTAAGAGCTTGCAGTAATGAAACTGTAACACGTTCGGTGTTCCACCACAGGCATCCTAATTTGTTATTTGATTATGAAACACGAAGCGTGTGCTTGTCTAGTTTTTTTTGACGTCTTAAAGGTCGATGAACATCGGCTGCACGCACGAAGAAGTGTCACGTCCCGCCCGAGCCTAACTGTGCAAGCGAGAGCGCGGAACAAGCGATGATAGAGAGGCACGATCGGGCCAAGCGTTAATTTATCGATAATTATAATTTTCAATTAAATCCTTTTTTGTATTATACAAAATAATGATAATTCAAGGATAGTGATTCAATTCAATTCATAAAAGTATGCAGTTCTGGTTATGACCTTATCACGTAAAACTATCGTCCGTAAACCGAATTTACCGACAACCAATTTTTTTTTTATTGCCGTCGATGGCGGACGTGCGTAAGTCTACGGGTATTCTATGAACGACGTTAATGACCATTTCAATCTTTTTTTAAATGTCGTTTGAAGAAAGACATTGCATAGCGTTTGGTGTACTAAAACAGCATGACTCCATCTCTTGCGGTGGATGCCGTAAAAAGCTATTAAGGGAGAACTTACAACAGTGTTCTCTGAGTATTATACCAATATACTGCGATTGCCAACCGACTTGTACTGTTGGTAGCGTGTATTGTAAGCCCACACGGGTACGTACCACCATACTTCTTTTTGCTCTGGTTGAAATTCCAAATTCGCGTCCCAAGGTTCGGCATATGGACCTCGGTACCTAATAACTTAACATTAGATGGGTCGTGTACTCCTTTGCCCTTAAAAATCATAAGAAACCACAGTACAGATCCGTCTCTGGAAACATGTTGTGTACTTTATAATTAACTAGTCGACTTGAGATTATCCTAAAATCGACTGACTACAATCGTCGGTTCTTAGGGATTCAGAGACTTCTAGAAAATATTATTACGTCAAATTGTACAGCAATAATGAATTTGAGCTTGAAGGTTAATTGAAATATTTTGATATTTGTTTTTTTTTTTAATTACGCTGGCGGCGCGCGTTAATTACGTAAATCGGTCAAATTATATATTCATTTTGTAATTTTTTTGGTGCAAGTATATTATATTGAAATACCCTTCTGACGTCATTTTTCTAATTGCCGAGAGTCCTGACTTTCTAGATGAGACATTAATATATCTTGTAGATGGTCCTCCAACTGTGTATCTCCTTCAAGGAATGGAGAGTAGCTTGGGGTTTGAGTATCAAGGAAATTTTTTCGGATCATCTGATTTGTTTGCAACCTCTTAGCCTTGTTCCATCGATATACATTTAATTTTATGTAATAACCTAATAATATACCCAAATTATTCATGTATGCTCTTCGAATCTATTAATATTCACGGAAACTGTGACTAGAACTTTGTGACAGTGTAGCTAAATGCATACCGGCCAAATAAAATATCGCAGCACATAAGCTGGGCGCGTGTTAGAAGGTTTTTAGTAGCTACTAGCCCAGACGGCGCGGCGGTATCGGAACCCGTATCCAATGAAGTCTTAAGTAAATTACGATAAAGACTATTTTTTTTTTTTATTGCCCTTGTAGGCAGACGAGCATACGGCCCACCTGATGGTGAGTGGTTACCGTCGCCCATGGACTTCAGCAATGCCAGGGGTAGAGCCAAGCCGCTGCCTACCGTTTAATACTCTCCACAAGCCTCGTTTGAAGAAGGACATGTCATAGCGCTCGGGAAACACCGTGGAGGGGAGCTTATTCCATAGCCGGATGGTACGTGGCAAAAAAGACCTCTGGAAACGCACTGTGGATGACCGCAGTGGCTTCAGGTAGTATGGATGAACTCTACTCCGGTGGCGGGCGGTGCGATGGTAAAAACGAGATGCCGGTATCATCTCGAACAATTCCTCAGAGCACTCCCCATGGAACATACGGTACAAAATGCAGAGGGAACCGAAGTCCCTCCGCAGACCCAGAGGCTCCAAACGATCCGTGAGAATGGGATTATCGACAATCCGAACGGCCCTCCTCTGTATGGAGTCAAATGGAAGAAGCTGGTATTTGGGAGCCCCGGCCCAGAGATGGGAGCAGTACTCCACGCGAGGCCGGACTTGTGCTTTATAAAGCAAAAGCCTAATAATACTCTTCTCTCTAAGCCGTAACGTTACGTGATTTGTGTCCAAGAGTGCTTAAGGTGTGTAGTCAATATGAGTGCATCTTCTATTTATTTATTTTATTTTTTATCTATCCTATATATATAAAAATGAATTGCTGTTCGTTAGTCTCGCTAAAACTGGAGAACGGCTGGAACGATTTGGCTAATTTTGGTCCTGAATTATTTGTGGAAGTCCAGAGAAGGTTTAAAAGGTAAATAAATATAAAAATGCTCGGAATTAAATAAAAATAACAAGTTTATTTTTCCTTTGATGAGTGCCCCATCGGACGGATTCCTTTTGTTTGTTTTAAGTTAATTTTATACAAAAGTTTAGGTCTTTTATTTTTCGATTGAGGCACTACGAAGTCTGCCGGGTCAGCTAGTCTTAAATAAAATGCACGACGATGTGTTTAACCACGGATCGTTTATCAGTGTCGATGGTTAAAAACACACTCACGTATCAAACGGGCTCACACACATCCACATAAATATAGGCTTGTCTATAAATAGCACGATATTTATTACATCAACTATCACTGCATACGTATACGAGGCGATTTTTATTATGACCAGATTACAAAACCGACCAAATACCGGTTCTACGTTTTATAAAACGTAAAATGGATTAACGACCTTTGATTATATGATAGAAACACGAATATATTTAATATAATAATATACGATGATGATTTTATTTTCGTAATCGTCTGTATTATATCAGTGTTAACATCGATAATTCTATGTGTTTTAACATGCATTCATTTGTTTGGTGTGTTCCCCCGTGTTTGCTTGTATGTAATAGAATGTTAGAAGGTAATTTTCACAGACTTTAAGACGTCAATGTTGGCAAAATGTGAATATTGACGTTAT